AAAGGAATATAATATACATTATTTAAATTATAAAATTTTATTATTGGATGTCAACATCAACTTTTAAGAAAAATTTATATAGAAGTTTTGGTAAATGTAACCATATTCCAAGGCTAAGGGACAAAAAATTGTGTGGAGGTTGACGGAGAGTGAGGAAAAAGATGGTAATCTAGGCAAATAAAAGCCAAATATTGGGTACTCTCAAAATTTTGATTAAAATATCATAAATTAAGATTAAAAGGGTCAAAAAAATGCATAAAATTGAGTTTTAAATGGATTGCTGATGATTTTTGAAATTTCATAGCCGCGACGCCCGATACCCGATACGTACCGGTTGATACTACCGATACCGATACTCCGCGATCGATACCGTTACGTTACCCGATACCGCGATTTAGAACTATGGTCCACACCATAAGTGGTTCAAATTTGTTGGAGTCTTGTGGGAGTGGAGGTCTCAATCATTATTCCACTGTTCATATAGGGCTCTATTGAGCACCTAGCATTTTATCATAAGCTAGACCCAAAGGTCTTTAGGCATCTACCTGTTGGTTCAAATTGATATTACACAAACTGGCATCTTGGAAGAGGAAGTTGCTTTCATTTGGGGGGAGGTTAACTCTCATTAAATCAGTCTTGTCTTGTCTACCTATTTATTATCTTTCTATTTTTGAGATGCCTAGTTCAGTGGTTAAAGTTGTTGAAGGGCTGCAAGCATCTTTTTTATAGGGTGGATCTGACTTGAAAAAGAAGATTTACCTTGTCAAATGGGATGAGGTGTCCAGAAGTAAAGCTCATCGTGGACTTGGGATTAGGAAAATTCAGGATGTGAATGATTGTTTGTTAGCTAAATGGTGGTGGAGGTTTGGAGTTAAGGACAATGCACTCTGGAAGAGAATTATTTGCGCGGGGGGAGGGGGGGTGTATACTTCGTGTTTCTCAATCAAATCCAAACCTTTTGAATTCATTCCTGGAGAGCTCTCATATAGTGGTTGGGGATGGGGCCAGAGTGAGTTTCTAGTTTGATCAGTGGCTCGGGAATCAGTGTGTGAAACATAGCTTCCCTAGACTATTTAGTTTGTCAAACAAACAGGACCTATCTCTGAAGTTGCTGATAGAGAGAAATGCTTGCTGCAATGGCTGGAATCTTACTTTTCATAGAGCTTTATTTGCTTGGGAGGCGGAGGATTTGGAAAGATTGTACCTCTTGCTGAATCAGTTTTAGGTTCAAACCTTTAATAAGGAAGATCAGTGGAAGTGGTTTCCTTGCCCATCTAGTCAGTTTAGTAGAGTATAAAGAGATGAGGTGCTAAACTGACTAGATGGGGGTACCTAAACTATTGTGGTTTAATGTCTCTCCTCCAAAAGTTCAATTCCTTGGGTGGTTGGTATGGAAGGGAAAGTTAAATACTTCGGAGTTCCTTCAACGTATTGGTGTTTTGGGTCATAACGCTCCAGTCTGCTGTGTGTTCTACAGATCTCATGTGGAAACAGTGCCTCACCTTATGCTATGGTGTCCCTTTGTTTAGAGAATCTGGTCTGATCATTTAAATTGGTGGGGGCTGCAATGGATTTGTTAGGTCCCTTGATTGTCAAATCCAGATACAAAACCTTGTGTTGTTAAAGTTGTTCATTTTCTATGTTTTTGTTCTTTCCGCTCGAGCGGGGACATTGACGCTCGAGCGGAGTTTGTGGTCTCTCAGTATTTTGACAGGTCTGTAAAAGTACTGGAATGTGTAATTTTGCGCTCGAGCAGATTATGAAGCGCTCGAGCGGACCACTGTGTTACCACACTCGTATTTTGTTGAAGCCGCTCGAGCGGGATGTTGGGCGCTCGAGCGGAGATCGCGGATTCAGGATTCCTATTTATATCTGTTAGCTTGTTTTTAGGATTACTTTTTTCCTAGATCTTATTCAAAGAGTCCTAGGGTTTTGTTTGAAGTTTTCTTCTGAAGTTTTGATGAGTTTTCCTTGATGTTTTGAGAAGAGTTCTTCACTCATGATCTAAAATACATACATCAAGGAGTTGGTTGGTTTAACTTCAAGAGGGAGTTCTCTTCGGTGGATTCCAAAGATTCAAGCGTATAGTTTCAAAACGCGTTTGATTCTATACGTAAGTGAGGTTGTGGAATCAACTTCAGGATTGATCAGTTCCGAGACGAAGTCGTGGAGAAAGAGTTACAGAAGATTCGAAGACAAATTGACTGAGTTGGGTAATTTGTATGATATCTTTGTAATCTTTTTTACTTCAGTAGTGGATTGATTAGTGGCGTTTCGCCCGTGGTTTTTTAATCACAGTTGGAGGTGTCCAATTGTGGTTTTTTCCACGTAAAAATCGTTTGTGTCGATTTATTAATTATTCTGAAAAACAAACAATCTAAATCACTTTCGTAAGTGCTTGTTGATTTAGATTGAGTGTTTTGGATTTCTGGGATTTGGAATATTTTAATCTTGATCTAATCACGAATCACTTAGGATTTTCAATTGGTATCAGAGCGGGTCACCCTTTTTTAAAAAAATATATGAGTGTGATTTTGTGTGACTAGTGATATGGATTCTATTCGTGAAGGTAACTCGACCCATAGACCGCCTTTACTCGATGGTACAAACTATTCTTATTGGAAAGCTCGTATGAGAGCATTTTTAAAATCCATCGATGAGAAAGTTTGGCACAGCGTAATCTATGGGTGGAGTGAACCTACCATCATCATTGATGGTGTTAATATTCTTAAACCCCTTGATAAATGGGACACGACTGATTATCAAAACTCGAGTTGGAACAGTAAGGCTCTCAATTCCCTGTTTTGCTCCGTCACACCTGAAGAATTTCGTCGTATCTGCACGTGTGAGGTATCACCTCCGCTTTTGAAACCCTTTTTATGCGCGATGAGGAGACGTTTGATGATTTCTATGCAAAACTTAGTGATATCGTGAATTCCTGTTTCACACTTGGGGAAAAAATCCCGGAAGCTAAAATTGTTGGAAAAATTTTGAGGTCTTTGCCCGAGAGGTTCCAACTAAAAGTGACAGCCATTGAGGAGGCTCAGGATGTTGATACCCTCAAGCTTGATCAATTGGTTGGAAACTTGCAGACTTATGAAGCCCACCAGATTTCAAAGAAAAAACAAAAAGAAAGTATGGCTTTCACTAGTGCTCATGAGTCTGCAAAAACTCCGGAGGCTGAATTTGATTTAGAGTCTGAGATGACGGCTATGTTTACTAAACAATTTAAAAAAATTTTGAAGAAAAAGAAGCCTAATCTCAGAGACCCTATTTCTAAAGACAAGAGTAATGAAAAACCCAAAACTTTTCCACCAAAACTTGCTCCAAAAACTGAAAAGAAGATAGTAAAGGGGCAAGGGGTCAAGTGCTATGAATGTCAAGGGTTTGGCCACATTGCCCTTGAATGCCCTTCGAAAAAGAATCGAAAGAAAGTCTACACTGTAACTTGGGATGATGAAAGCGGGTCGGAGCAAGAACCCGAAGAACCTGAATCTGGAGAAGACGGGGATAGTGCTTTTATGGCATTTTGGTCCACTTTCACTCAAACTCTTCCAAAGCCAGCGGAGTTAGCTCGTGGTCAGAACCTGCATCATGCTCCTATTTTTGATGGGAGTAACTACCTGTTTTGGAAAATCAAAATGAGGGCTTTTCTGAGAGCTTTTGATCCAGAAGGCTGGCAGGCCATTGAAGAAGATACAGACAGGGCTGACAATCCGAGCAATCTGAGAGCCCTTATCACTATTCGTAGAGCAATTTCTGCTGAAGAACAGCAACGGGTTGTTCGTTGCACAAAGGCTAAAGAGGCATGGGAAATTTTAAGCTAATTCCATGAAAGAGGAAATTCACATTCACCACCATCCAGCGACTTTTCAGTCTTAGTTGCAAGATTGGAGGAGGCAAAGGAGAATGAAGAGCAAAAGGATGATGAAATATCTGATGACAATGATGAGATCAATGGCGATGAACTACAACAAGCTTACGAAAAGCTATACGAGGAATCTCTGAATTTATCCAAAACCAACGACAAACTCTCTCTCAAGCTCAAAACATGTGAGAGTGAGAATGTCAGGCTGAAAGGAGAACTTGTAGCAGCAAAGCAGAATATCGTCAAGATCTCGAGTGACAGGCAAGACTTATGTGGAAAACTATTATCCTGTGAAACTGAAAGGAATGAACTTCTGAAGGTGTATTCCATATGAAGAAAAACTTGAAAGTCTTGAGCTGTCACAAGCCAGATTGGAAGAGATAGTCTGTCAAAAAGATGAAGAGCTCTGTGTTGCTAGAGCCAATATTGCCATGTGGAACAAAGGTTCCAAATCTTTAGAAGACATCCTCGGGTCTCAACAAATGGGTTGCGACAAAAGCGGGTTAGGCTATGGTACAACAGCTCACAAGGGACATGCCTCTACTTCACATGACAAGAAGACTCAAGCAAAGGGAAAATTAAAGGTAGACCAGGCTGATCTCTCTCTTCATCTACCTAAAGCTGGTAAGATCAACAAAAAGGAGGTAAAACCGGTTTTTATTTGTCATCACTGTGGTAGGTATGGCCACATTCGTCCTTATTGCTATGAATTGTTTGGTAAGGTGTCTCAAAAGAGTAGAAATTCAAATACTTTTTGGGCTAGGAGACAACCTTACATGTCCAAGCAGAATACCAAGATTCATGAGGGTGTTCACAATGCCACGACATTTACCAAGACCGCTAGACCTAATTTTGTTAAGATCAAAAAGGTTTGGATGAGGAAACTTGACTTGTGTTAATTTTTTTATTTGTTTTAGCTTTTGGGTTTTTGTGTGTTGTTTTTAATGAAAAAAAAAAAAAAAATGTCTGCTTGTTCATTTTTTTGTCTTGCTACACGAGAGAGAGAGAGAGAGAGAGAGAGAGAGAGAGAGAGAGAGAGTCAAAATGAAGTTTCACTATCATTCATTTCTGAAACTACTACTAGCTACTAGTATACTATAATTTATCAAAGACAGACACAGAATCAAACATCTCAAGAAGATGATGAAGAAGAAGACGAACCATTATCCTCTCTTTTCTCAATCTCATCCTCAGCTTCTTCTAACAAAGACAAACAAGGACTAATAGTAGAACTCGAACAAGAAAATGACAATGGTGAAATAGGAGAGAGAACACTAGTAGTAGTACTCGTTGATGATGATGATGATGATGAAGAAGAAGAAGCAAAAGCAAGATCAACTAATAAATCAACAAAAGCACCAACAATATACCCATGATTGGATTCATCATTGACTCTGAAATACCAACTCAAGAGCTCTTCAAGAGAGTCCCAGTCTTTGTTCATCAACCCATGAGCCACCACCATCTCCGCCATGGACCGCTTGAAGTCGGCGTAAGGGTTTATCGATTCCATAGCCATCACCACGCTCTCTTTGAAGATAAACCCATCACTCTTTGCTTCTTCCATTATCGAAGAACTAGTCTCTCCCGGAGAGAAAAACAACCTCTCCGCCGACCGAAGCCCATTTATCACCGCCTCTATCGACTCCCCTCCTCCTCCGGCGGCGGCGGTGGTGGAGGATTCATCAATCCTCCGGCTGCCGGAGTCGGTTATGCCGGCGTAGGCGGAGTTTATGGTTTTGAAGATGTCTCCGCCGTGGGCCGTGGCGTAGGTGGTGGCGGTGGTGGTGGCTCGGAAAGAGAGGGTTTTGGTGGTGGTGCAGGAGGGCCATGGCCAGGAAGTGGTGGTGGTGGTGGATTCTGGAGTCTTGATGAAGCCTTAAATACTGCTGTTTATGTCATAAATCGCGTGTATTTAAGGCCCGGCACTTTACAAACTCCATATGAATTGTGGAAGGGTTTGAAACCTAATGTAAAATACTTCAAAACTTTTGGGAGTAAGTGTTACATCTTCAAAGATAGAGAGCCTTTGGGCAAATTTGACTCCCGAAGTGATGAAGGTATTTTTCTAGGGTATTCAACCACCAGTAGGGCATTTAGAGTCTATAACCTGCGAACTTCATCTTTAATGGAATCTATCAATGTGGTTATAGATGACACAGGTGCACCTACTCCAGCAACAAATGAGGATGATAATGATGAGTCTCCAACCATGGATATGGAATCACAAAATCAAGGAGAAGGTGCGGACCAATCACAAGAAATGGTTACAGATCCATCCTCACAGGTAAGGTCAAGTCCAAAGAGTGCTCCTAGGGACATCACTCCTGTTGCTCCTGTCATCGCAAGTCCTGAGCTTAAACCATCAGCTAGGGTGAAACTTAATCATCTAGCTCAACAGGTGATTGGAAATGTCTCGGATCGAATGAAAACCCAAAGACAGATTCGGGATGAGGTATCACATATGTGTTATGTTTCATTAATTGAACCTAAGAATTTTAAAGAGGCCTTGCTAGATGATAGTTGGGTCAATGCTATGCATGAAGAGTTAGGTCAATTTGAACGTAACAAAGTCTGAACTCTAGTTCCTAGACCTAGAGACATGAATGTGATAGGTACCAAGTGGATCTTTAAAAATAAATCTGATGAGAATGGTACAGTTGTTAGGAATAAAGCAAGGTTGGTTTCAAGGCTAAACACAAGTAGAGGGTGTTGACTATGATGAGACGTTTTCCCCAGTTGCACGTCTCGAATCTATTCGTATCTTGCTTGGTGTTGCATGTTTTCTTGGCTTTAAATTGTTTCAAATGGATGTGAAAAGTGCCTTTCTGAATGGGTACTTGAGAGAAGAGACTTATGTTGAGCAACCAAAAGGGTTTGAAGACCCTAAATGTCCTAATCATGTCTACAAATTAGACAAGGCTTTGTATGGATTAAAACAAGCCCCTCGAGCTTGGTATGATAGACTTACTACCTTTCTTCTTGATAATGATTTTCAAAGGGGTAGTGTGGATAAGACTTTATTTGTGAAACATACTAAGTCTCATATTCTTGTTGCTCAGATTTATGTTGATGATATTGTGTTTGGATCCACTGCTGAATATCTTGTGAAATATTTTTCGGATTGCATGACACATGAGTTTGAGATGAGTATGATGGGAGAGTTGTCTTATTTTTTGGGTCTTCAGATTAAACAGTCTTCTTCAGGTATATTTGTGTCTCAGTCTAAGTATGCGAAAAATCTTGTGTCTAAGTTTGGTCTTGAGTCTGCCAAACATGCACGCACTCCCATGAGCACCAGTCTTCACCTCTCCAAAGATTCCTCTGGTATTGATATTGATCCTACCCTTTATAGGAGTATGATAGGGAGTCTTCTGTACCTCACAGCCAGTCGTCCTGATATTGCTTTCAGTTTAGGTGTTTGTGCCCGTTACCAAGCTAGTCCTAAAGAGTCTCATCTTCTTGCTGTCAAACGCATCATTAAATATGTCAATGGGACATTGGGGTATGGAGTTTGGTTTTCTACTGATACTACAACTGAAATTACTGGTTTTTCTGATGCCGACTGGGCAGGGTGTGCTGATGATAGGAAAAGTACATCCAGGGGGTGTTTTTACCATGGGAATAATCTGGTTTCCTGGCATAGTAAAAAGCAAAATGCCATCTCTCTTTCGACTGCTGAGGCTGAGTACATTGCTGCAGGGAGTTGTTGTGCACAAATGCTGTGGATGAAGCAAATGCTTCATGATTATGGGATAGAACAAAACACTCTTACTCTTTTCTGTGATAACACAAGTGCCATAAACATTTCAAAAAATCCTGTTCAACACTCTCGCACCAAACACATTGACATTCGTCATCATTTTATTCGAGAGTTAGTGGAAGAGGGCCTTGTTGTTCTTGAGCATATTCCCACTGAGCATCAAAAAGTTGATATTTTTACAAAACCCATTGATCTTCTTCGGTTTGAGTTCCTTAGAAAGACCTTGGGTATCATGCTCGATCACTAGAGTGTTACTTGTTACTTGAGTAGGTGTAAGTGTTTTGCCTTATGTATGCTTGGATGTCATAATCTCATTGTCATTGATATCTGTTGTACTTGCATCCAACTTTTTATGTACACTACTCATGCTGCTTACAAGATCTCATTGGTCATTGGTCATAGCTCATTTTGAATGCCCATGCTCATTAACCTCATGATCTCATTTTGTACACATCCTTGAGATTAATTGTTGCAGGGGTTTCCACACATGTGATCAAAGTTCTCTATGGACCACTAACAGTGTTTCTTATACTTTTACAGTGGAATTGACCGATACTAGCATATCATGGGTGATGTTCAGTCTCTTAACCATCTACCATCTGTTTTCACTTCCACGGTTTCTCTCTCAGTTCCTTGAAGTCCGGGCATTAGGAAAAGGCTACCTCAGAGGCACCAACCAGGCCATCCTTTATGATTTCATTCTTCTCTGGTTTGGTTTCCATACTCTTGAGAGTGAAAGCCACCTGTGAGTGCCCACAAGAAAGAAAATGTTAAAAAAAAAAGAAAAAAAAGAAAGGGGACTCATTGATTGAGGGGGAGCCTCCGCATTTACTCAACAAATACCCCGTGATTCCTAGTGGTTTGACTTTTCTCTGTATTGTTGAGTTACTCTTGATGGAGGTCCAGCTATCCGATCACTACTAGGATTAACTCTAGCTCAGTGACCTCTCATGGATTGCACACACACACATTTTTTTTGTGAGCTCTCATGTTGGATTTTGAGTTGTACATTCTCATGTAGCTTATGATCATTGATTATCTTTTATCTGCTTTGCTCATGATGTTCAGTGTCATTTTGTTTTCACAACTGCAAGTTTCCAGACTTCATGAATTGCGGATTATCTCATCTTAGTATTCAATTTTGGCTGAATGTGCTCATCTACTTTTGTTTCAGGTCTCATCTCTTGTTATTGAGTATATTGTTTTTATTTTTTTTTTTAAAAAAAAAAAAAAAGGTCCCGCTCGCGCGGAACTTTGTACGCTCGAGCATATTTTTTCGTCTTGCAGTAGTTTGCTCTTTGCTTTACAGTTCTGAGAGAGGTTTTTTTGCGCTCGAGCGTCCTTATTCGAGCTCGAGCGGATGTCAGCTTGCCTTGAATCACGCTCAAGCGTTCATTCCTACGCTCGAGCAGACCGATTTTATATAAAACTCCCTCCCTCGACTCTTCAGGTCATTTTTTCTCCCTCCTTTTCAGTTTCTCAGACCTAGGGTTTGGCTCGTGGGCTTTGCGTGGTCGATTTCACCTTTCTTCCTCCTCTTCCTTACTGATTTCTCTTTTGGTAAGTTTTACCCTCTCTTCTCCTCTGTTTGGTCTGTTATTTCGGCACTTTTTGGGATTGTATTTCGGGTTTTTTGGGTTTTTTTGTGTTTCAATTTTTTTCCCTTTCTCTCACACACACTTTTCACTTCTTGGTCTTGTCTTCCTCATGTTGCATTTCATGTTTGTGTGTATGAAATCAGTGTTGTCCATTCGCCCTAGGATTGTGAGTTTCACATGCTTGAGGTTTTTTGTGTTTGTGCTACCTGTTTGAGCCCCTGTTTTGACCTCAAGATGGAGAAGTGTTGCCATATGAAGTTCTATTTGTTTTGATATCAGTGTTTAGCTTCACTAGGTCATTGATATTCTGCCATTGTCATTATGCACATCTTTGCATTATGCATTTCATTGATATTTGTCTTCTATGTTTATGAAATGATATCCTTGAAATTTGTCATCCATGATTATGCATTATGCGTTTAATGTTACTAATGGTCTCTATCTTGTGCCTGTTTTGCTATTCGGGTTTGGTTTCTTTTTGGCTTTGTTGGGTTTTTTGGTATTAGTCCTCTCTCATCTCATCATGTCCGCCCCTAAACGCCGAAAGGCAACTGTGTCTCGTCCTACCTTTAATTCTGAGAGGTTTCAGAATGCTAAGCAAGACAAGTTGTTCCATAAATCTTTTGAGGCTCGCACTGTTCACCTAGAACGGAATGTCTAGCCCAACACTTTCGAATCCATCGCTATCCGTCCATTGTTTGATCCTCTAGGTGGTGATTTGGTGTTGTCTTTTTCTGGGCGTCAAAATCTCGACTGGGTGCGAGAATTTTACTGCAATATTGAGCAAATAAGTGACTTTGAGCTGTCATTCACTACTTGGGTCCGGTCCAAATCCGTTTCTGTCACCCCTGCACTCATTCGCCATCTTCTTAAGGTTGATCAAGTGTACCCTCAACACTATCCTTTTCCTGTCCCAGGTCGTCCTACCTGTGATTTCAATAATGTGACTGAGGTGTTATGTGGTACTTCCCGTCCTTGGCCTACGGGTGCCTTGATTAAACAGTTTGAACTTCTTCCGGAGTTTAGACTGCTTAATTTGATTGTTTGTGCCAACATCCTTGTGACCACTCACTCCTCAGAAATTAATCAAGACCAAGGTTTTGTTTTGTTCTGTATTGCCCGTCACATGTCAATTGATCTAGCTACCGTGATCATTAGGAAAATGATAAGTGTTTCTGGAAATAAACAGTTAGGACTTCTTTATGGTTGTTTGATCAACCGTCTGTTGTCTGAACTTGGGGTTCGAGTGTTAGAGGATGATGAGTTTGCCTTCCCCTCCAGACCATTCACCAAGAAAACTGTTTCTCAGAGTCGGGCTCATGTTAAGGGGGAGTCTTCTCGGGCTGATCCTTCTGCAGGTACCACTGCTGGACTTGCTGAGGAGGCTGAATATGATGCTGCCGCCGCTGAGGGTGAGGAGGATCCTATTCCACCTGTTCCACCTCGCACTTTTCCTGATCAGCTTCAGCATTTTGAGGAGGCTATGACCCAGAGGTTAGACTTTCTCAATGCCCGTTTTGATGCCTTTGATGGTCGTCTTGGTCAGATGGAGTAGACTGCCGCTCACACTACTTCGCAGCTGGACCACATCATTTCCTTACTGACGCTTCAGCCGTCACCTCCTCCACCTGGTGCATGATTTCTTACTTTCTTGATTCCCGGTCAAAAAGGGGGAGAATTTGGTTGCTGTGATATTGATGGTAATCTGGTGATTTGGTCTCTAGTGATGGTTGATATTGATGGTAATCTGGTGATTTGGTCTCTAGTGATGGTACATGGTACATTTTTTTTTGTAAGATGGTTCTTTTGTTTTGTTCATATGGATATTTTGTTCTTTTGGTTATGTCACATGG